TGACTTTTCTGCCCCCTCACAATAAACACGCCCGTCACAAACAACTTTTCCACAAACGAGCCCACTGAACGGAACGGAGAAAAGCCCCCAAAACAAAAGCCAAACTTCTTTTCTCTTTTCAGATGTTGGCTGGAGTGAAAAGTGCTCGACTCAAATACCTTGACGGACAATTATTCCAAAACAACGTTTGAGTCGCGCGGCGTCCTGACCTTGCTCCCGCCCTTCATGGGGTTGCCCAGATCGCACACCACCATCTTGGTCCGGTTCTCCTTCTTGTAGGCGCACGACAGCCGGCTCAGCGTCTGCCGACACAAAGGCGCCGAGGCGTGAGCCGCAAAGTCGTCCCGGCTCTTCGAAACGGGGCGCGTCCGGACTCGCTCGGCGAGTCGCCAGTCAGACGAGCTCTCGGCTGAGTCGCGACAGTGAGTCAGGCGTGCGCGCGCGAACCCAAAGTGACGCACGAGGCGGGCCGTATGACGCAAGATTCCTCCCGGGAGCGTGTCGGGACCGGCGGCGGGGAACACTTCGGGGCCGGCTTTGCAATTTGGGCGGCGGTTCCCCACCTGACTGCGCACCACGCCGGTGAAGTCGGCCTGCTGCGGCGGGAAGACGTGGAGCTCGGCCTCGTAGGCGCCCTCGCCGCGGTTCTCGGCCACGATCTCCAGCGTCACCGCGTTGTCGTCGCCGATGGCCATCTCGGAACGGTCGCTGCCGCGGGCGCACAGACGGGCGGGGTTTAGAGGCGCGGCGCCACCTCGGACGTCGTTTCGTTTCGGCGCCGTCGTCCTCACCTCTGGACCGACAGCCGCAGGTCAGGCTTGCAGATGTTGTCGTCGCCGCAGTCCAGCAGGATGTGAGCCTGGCGGCCGCGCGGGGTGATCGTCAGAAGAAAAAAAAAAAAGCCAGCCACGCGACGAGCCGGCCCGAGGCGCTTTACCTGCCGGGTGACGTTGGGCGGCGCGGCCACGTCGAGGACCGGCCGCAGGCCGCTGCGGTCTTGGGCGCGCCCGTAGTCCAAGGTGTACTCCAGGACCACCGAGATGGGCGTGATTTTGTCGCGGAAGTCGCGGTCGTCCTGCCGCCGCAAACATACTTTAAGAAGGGGACGGCCGCAACCCCCCACCCCCCCATCATGGCTCCATTTCAATTCTATGCCTTCCTTTCAAAACCGACATGAGTCATCGCGAGCCGCAGCGGGTCAGAAGATCGGCGTTGATGTCACGAGTTGTTCAGAAAAGGGGCAATTTGGGGGCCTGAAAAACAGGACGCGCTCTGGGATGGCGCAGCCACCGAGGCGGCAACAACAGCCGTTGGACCCGAGTCGAGAGAAACGGCGTTCCTCGGGGTGAGCGATGCTCAACCGACGCGACGATGGCTTGTTTGCAGCACCGCTCGGGAAGAGGAAAGAGAAGAAGAGGAAGGCGAAGGGGTCCGAGTGCAAAGGAAGGCGCCCGAGAGGACGCGGACGGCTTTGGCTCCCCCCTACCCTGAGGAAGACGTGCTGCTCCTCGCAGGCGGGCCCTCCGCCGTTGCTCAGCGTGACGTTCTTGGCGTAGCCGACGCTCCGCCCGTGCAAGAAGAGGACTCGCTTGGCCGAGTCCTTCTGCTTCAGCCGGTCCAGCAGCACGTCCACGCCGAAGGCTGGCCGCCGCCGAGGGGACACGAGTCACGCGCGGGTCGAGACGGCAAAATGCACGGGAAAGCGGCGGCGGCGAAGGCTACTCACTGAGGGAGGCCGGCGCCCCCGGCCCACTGGCCTTCAGGCAGTACTTGACCTTGAAGCTGCGAACGGCAGGCCAACGGCAGTTAGGGAGGGCGGACCAAGGCGGCGGCGGTCGTCGGCTCGCTCACCAAGACACGGCGACGCCGGAGGCGGGCAGCACGCAGCTCTTCTCCTCAGGGTTGATGATCTGAGGGCTGATGTCCAGCGTGGCGTTGACGCTGATCACCGGCCGCGCTCTACGCACACACGCGCGCACGTTTAAGTCTGCTCCAGTTGCTCCAAAATGCCGCCGCTCGCTTCTCGGCTGCGACTGGCACTCCTACTCCGGCATCCCTATCGAGTTCTTTGTTTTTCCCGATCTCCGAGCTCCCCGCCCGGTGCCTCGGGTCTGCGCGGCACCAGAGCGGAGGAGACTCCTTCCTTTCTTGCCGTCGCCGGCCGCTCCCTTGCGCCCAACCATCGGCGAGCCTCCTCGTTGCCCGTCTTTCGAGCTCATTTTCAGGCTGGGGCTTTTGAGTTGGACGCTTTTTGTGCTTTCTACCGCCTTTGTGACTGTTTGCTTGTTTCTTGTCGTCCCAACTATGCTTGCCCCGTTTGTGTACGCCGCTTGTCTCCAAATACACTGCGGTTGTTTGATGGCAGGGGAGGCTTCGCACCCTTTCAAGCGGATGCGCGGCAGGAAATGCTCGTGCACACGTTCGCACTCGCACACCTTCAAACACGCAACAAACAGACACGACAAGCACGCACACGCACGTTTGCCTGCACGCCGACTGTCATCCCACAGGCGCAGACGCGCACAAAAGCAGCGGCGCGACACGGCCGGGGCCAATTACCTGTACAAAACAGCCCTGTCAGCTCCAAAGACCCCGACCAGCAAATCTGCACGAGACACACACACACACACACACACACACACGCACACGCACAAACGGTTTGGTGGCCGTCAGCCCGCCCAGCGACACCTCCTCGGCGGGCCGGCGCGCCTACCGGGATAGCCGTTGCGGTCGATGTCCGTGTTTCCCGTCATGGAGTAGCCAAAGCTGGCGGGCATGGAGCTGGACGCCCACTCGCCACGCAGGACCTGGCGGGCGGCACGCCGGTTAGCGTGTATGCTACGTTACCGTAACGCACGCCGCTACCAACGGATGAGCTCGCGTGCACCTCAAACACACAAAAGTAGAGCGCAAACGGCCGGCGACCGCGGCGCTCGTACCTGCGAGGGCGCCTGCGACGGGCCTTGAGGTCCGCCGTTGTGGATGTACACCTGGCCCAGGTGACCCGGACCGCCGTAGGGGGCCGAGATGGCCACGTCTGGAGAAACACGCGAGGCGTCACCACGGGCACACCCGCGCGTGCGCGTCGGGCCTACCGTTGTATCCGTCCATATTGAGATCTCCCAGCGCGGCGACGGACGAGCCGTATCGGGCGTAGACTTCGGAGCCGACGAGCATCCGCGGAGGCTGGAAGGAAAATCCTCCTCGGCCCAAGTAGACGCACACCTGGACGCCGTCCGGTCAAGACGGGCGGCGCGGCAAAGACGCCGGCGGCGCGGAGGCGAGCGCCCCTTACCTGTCCCACCTCCCTCAGCTTGCCGTCGGAGCCTCGGTCCATGAAGAGAGGCGCGCCCACCAGCAGGTCCATCAATCTGAGCGCACGGGCAAGCGTCACTTACGCTGACATTAACGCTCGGGCACACGCACACTTGAGGGCGCGACTCACCCGTCCCGGTTGACGTCGCTGGCGGCCACCGAGTGTCCGAAGTAGGCGGCCATCTTGAGGGGACACAGAGAGAAGAGAGGCACGTTTTGGGCTCGCGGCCGCAACGGAGGCAAAAGCGCACGCAAAGGAAGCCGCGCCGACGCATTTGCGCAACCGCCGTCAACGGGACCCGCTCTTCCAACTCGAAATCGCATCTTGCCCTTCGAGGCCTCTCGAGATATGCAAAGAAACTCCAAGTGACGAAAGATAAACCGGGTCGGGTCATTCAGACAGTCGGGATTGTTCCGTATTTTCCGCGCTCACCTGACTTCCCGTGAAGTTGACCATGGACTCCATGTTGCGGCCGTTCAAGATGTTGACCTGAAACGGGGAAACGCGGCTCAACACGTGCGTGAGAGCGCGCGCGCGCCAGCGCGGAGCGTGCGACTCACGTAACCCAGCGCCTTGTCGCCCCGCGGCACACCCGTCACGTAATCTGCAACGACATCGCCACTCCTCAACTTCCAGAGGGCCTTCAAATGCAATCTCGCCAAAAACGTCCCGCGCAGACGAAGCGAGCGAAGCAACGAGCGAGTCGCGCGTCGGGACTACCTTCTTTTGCGTCATCGTTGAAGTCCGCCACCGTCACCGAATATCCTGGCGAGAAAAAAAAAGAACCAGAGTCGGCTTGAGCGTGGGAAGCCCGCGCTGGCGTTCCCTCCCTCCCTCCCTCCCGCCCGCCGTTTGGCTCACCCAGGTAGCTGTCGTCGTACTGGGCGCCGGCCGACTTGGTGGCCAGCGTGTTTCCGTAGGGGCTGATGTAGCTGTTGTCGAAGCGGGCCAAGATCTCAGACACGTCGTCCGAGATCAGCTGACCTGCGGGGGCGGCCGCCAAACGCAAAGACGCCGGTCAGCTGGAGAGCCCGCGCCGGGCTGCGGCTCGGGCACTAAACAGGAAAGCCGGAAGGGGGAAGGGGAAAGGCGGCTGACGGGACCTTGCCAGTAGAAGCTTCCGGGTCCTCCCACCACCACTCGCTTGTCCATCTGCAAGACACGCACGCACGCACGCACACACACGCGGCTCCCCTGAGCGCCCGAGCTCCTCGTCAGCGCGCCGGCACGGGGCCACCAACCTTGAGGAAGTCGGCGCTGAAGCCGGCCTGGCAGAAGCCCTGCCCCTCCGGAGAGTTGGCACCTGTGCGTGGAGAGAGGACGCGGCGGCCCAACGGCAACGCACTGGATCGGCACGGAGAGTACTCCACCACCGTCTGGTCTTTCTTCAGGAAACACGTCCCCACCGGCTCGCGCTCCGACACCCCGAAGGTGGACCACTGGTAGAGCGGCGCGCACGCCTGCCGACAACAGCAAAGAAGAAGAAGAAGAAGAATACATTTGTGCACTTTTAAGGCTGCCAATGAGATCTCGGGGGGGTCTTTTGTTTCTTTCAATGGACCCGGCGCCGTCTACCACTCGAGACCGTCGCGAACGTTTCGATGAGTCGACTGGAATCCAAACATTGAGCGCCACCAACCAATCGGCGTCAGGTCTGGGTTCTGTTTTTTTTTTTTTTTTGGGGGGGGGGGGGGGGAACGCAAAGTTCAAGACAAGCGAAAGGACAAACGGCGCCGTCGCGATACTTTTGCTTTCGCTTTGAGGATACACATGCCAATTTGGGCTCACCCTGACAAAAACGGGCAACACGTCGCAAGTCGGGCAGGCCGTCGGGTGCGAACAGAGTACGTGCTTCACGCACTTTGCGGAGTGAACGGCGAGCGAGCGCCTTGTCAAAAATCTGCCCTCCGTCGACATGAGCCGGGCGGTCCGTCCCGCGACCATTCGTATCCTTCTCAAAGGCCCGCCTTCGGACAAAGGGGGAAACCGACTTGATTTTCGGGGGAAGGAAGAGCGTCGACTCTCTTCTTGAGACCTTGGCTACTTCTGTCGCTCGCCAACAAATACCGCTCGCCAACTTTGCCAACTTGTTGGGCGGGAACAAGTTGGGGACTTGGCCAAGTGCGGGTAGCGAGAGCAGTCGCGCCTTCCATTTGTCCTTTGTGTGAAAACGGCGCGTGACCGTCCGCCAACTAAAAGGAGAGCTTCCCGAGACGGCGCCAAGGCCTTACCAAGATGTGCTCGCCGTCCGAGCGCACCGAAGCGCCGAACCACTGCTTGGATTTGAACTCCATCTGCGCGCCGTCGGCATTCTTTCTGTCACCTGCCAAAAAAAAAAAAAACAATAATAATAATCATCATCATCATCATCAACAGGGCCGGCCGGCCAGCCTGCGTGAGACTTTCGGGGGGCCCGCCCTGACGCCGCGTGACCTTTGGCGGGTACGGGCGGACCCGCCAGGGACGCGGGAGGGCCGCCATTTTGCTTGGAGGGTGAGGGTCCGGGTGGTTTCGGTGGCTTTTAAGGGCTGCAGCGAACAAGTCCGTCATTATTTGTGGCACCGTCGGGTTTGTTCTCAATTGCGTCCCGTGTTTCCAAATCAGGAGATTATTGACGCTTTGGAAAATGCAATGCGGCATTATTTTGGGAGGGGGGGGGGTGAGGGGGCGGCGCAAGCCGTCACGCTGCTATTTGTGGGCATCCGTCAAAGACGAGCGTGACCAAGCCTTCGCAACGGAAACTCATTTGGCCTCTGCGGCGGAAAGAAAGCCGTCCAAAGCTCCAAAAATGGCGCAAGACTTGAGCAGCTCACTTCCTGTTCTGCGGTGACTCGTGCGCGCTCACACACACACACACACACACACGCACTGCAATAATCCCCAATCTTGCTGTTGAATCATGCAGGCGACACTGATGGGGGGGAAATGGGCCGTTCCAAGCGTTGGAGAGGTTGCATACACATTTGAAAGAAAAGGACGGCTGAATTCGAACCATAAAAAAAGTGTATTTCCCGTTGTCGATTTCCCGTGAGCGAGCGAGCGAAGTGATGACGGAAGGCGGCCGGCCGCCGCTCAGCGGGCGTACCTGAGGAGTCGAAGAGGACCTGGCGGCAGGCGGCGGCGCCGCCCGCCCAGGGGCAGCTGTAGACGGCCCCTCGCTCCAGCACCTCGCCCGACGTGTTGGCCCGCGGCGCTCCGATCAGGACGTCCGACCTGAGCGCATCGGCAGAGTCCCGGTTAGGGTCGCGCTCGCTCGCGCATCTTTTGCCTCGAGCGTGCGCCAAACGCCCGACGAGCTCGCGGCTTGGAAGAACCTTCTCAATGCCTTATTGGCTGCATCTGGAACAGAGACGCGGCCTTGGACAATTGGAAAAATATCTCGCGTGGCGTGCCGGCCCTTCGACGGTTTAATCCTTCGCATTATTCTTGTTTGAGATTAGGACAAGGTTGATATGAGTGCGCCAACGTCATTTGCGGCACGCTTGCCAAATATCACACATTTACGCTTGGCAGGATTTCTGACTTTCTCAGCATCAAACCGTCTTTCCTTTCGTCACACTTATGGCTTGATTCCACTTACACTTAATTAAAAAATAAATAAATAAATAAAAATGTTTCCCCCCTAAATGACCCCCTTAACCCTCCTCCCCATAACCGCACTTTCAAGCTCGTCAACGGGGAACGCGGGTTTACGTTTGGAATTGAAGTCCTGAGTTTAAGCAAAAGATCGAAGGGCGGTTCGGTTTTGTGGACAGGAGCGGGAGGGAAGTGAAGCCGAAGCCTTCCCGGGGAAGACTGCGGCGCATGCGCAGTAGCCCGGCTCCCATTTTTTGGGGGGGAGGAGAACCTTCCCAAAAGTGGTCGAAAAACAAAACCAAGCAAATAAGTTGCCTCCGCTCACTCGCCCGCCCGCGTCAAGTTAACCAAGCCAAAGCGCGAGTTCGTTTTCGTGTAAATGTGGCGAGAGGGTTGGTTCGTCTTTCTTACTGTTGGTTGTTGGGGGCTTTGAAGAAGTCCACCGAGAAGCCGAAATAGCTCCCCGGCGGGC